ATAGTTAGCTGAACATACTCCTTGAAAATTCATTTTTGGGTCCTTGTATATACTCCTTGAATAGTAATTACTCTATTAGCAATGCTATTTTTTTCATTTGGTGGCCTGGAAATCTATGATTTAAAGACAAAAATTGATGCCTCAGTTTTGCAAATGGTCTCGATTCTGATTGGCTAACGTTTTCTTTAATTCAGATCAGCTGAAAAAGAGGGGAGGGGGGGATAGTAGATTTCTGGCAAATCTGAGCCCGTTCAATTAAAATCACTCCGACCAGCTGTTACCCTTGAAGCGCAAGCGCAACTTGTCTATTCAACATGGCTGCCACGGAGGCAGAAGATGATCAAGAAACTCTGATCAAAACTTTATTCACAGAATCCTTCCCAGGTTTGTCTGATTTCAGTAATATTTCTAAAACGTATTAAAAATACTTTTTCTGAATTCACTGTGTATTTATTGTTTCAGAATCATGGCGAGATAGTCCAGATTTTGCTGTTTATCTTGCGGAACTTTGTTCATCTGGAGTCGATAGACTTGGTAAATAATATCTATTTTTTCTACTTTTTCTCTATAATTGTATTGTATTAATATAGCTTCGGGGGTACAGCGTTATTTCTCGAGAAACTATCCGTTATGTGCTTAAATTAATTGCTTTTTTACGTCATTTATTTTTATATATTGTTCACCAGAAGACTTTGAAGTTCGCTTTGTCCTTCCATTTTTGAATCGTTTTTTGGAATCAAATCCTCTTTATAATCCATCCTACTTTGAGTGTTTCATTATAATCACTAGTACTGCTAGATTTCTTATGTTTTATATAATCAAATCAACAGGCCGAGAACCTGACCGCTTGGCCGAAGAAAGAGATCAAGTGCTTCAACAGACTCAGGATCTTGCTTTCCATAATTATAAAACGTTTATCAAGACAGCTGACTGTTCAAGGGAGATATTTCAAGATGTAAGTGGCATGCCTTGTGCTCTTTGTAATTTGAACAATATAAATTCATGATTAAATCAAATGCAAAGTATCAACAGTAATAATGTTGATGCATGATGATGGTGATGATGATGGTGACGATAATAATGACAATGATGATGATGGTGATGGATAATGTTGATGCATGATCATGATGGTGGTGATGATGGTAATGGATGATGTTGATGCATAAAGGTTATGATAGTGATGACCATAATGATGGTGATAATGATGGTTGTGGTGGGGTAATGATGGTAATGATGATGATGGTGATGATGATGATGGTGATAATAATGGTGATGAAGATTGTAAGGTGGTGATAATGGTGAGGATGATAATGATGGTGTTGGGGTGGTGATGATGGTGATGGTGATGATGATTATGATGGTGGCGATAAGGTTGAGGATAATGTTTTAAGAATTATGAACATGTTTTCCTTGTTCAATGCCAAATGAATAGAGGACAMAAGAGAAGTGTTTGGGAACACGAAGAGTATAAACTATATCAATGATCAGCATATTTACTCAGTCTATATTGATGGTTTTTTAAACAGTTTCTTTCAGTAGAAAACCATGTTGAGAGTTTATTAGAGAAGCTTCCAGTGTTCTCCGAGACATGCAAGGAATTCATGAAAGCTGCACAAGAAATAAACACCAGGTAACGTCCACATTAAATGCACTACCAATTAGCGAACCCTGAGAATACCATTACGTTAAGCATTGTTTAATTTTTTGTCCCATCTTAGTCGCAGGTTAAATTCTCTGACATTAGCAAGACACACCCAGCTACTTGAGATTCTGGAAATCCCTCAGGTTTGTGTTTAATTTTTCAACCTTTAACCCTGAAACAACCTCTGGGTTCATAAAAGTCAGGGCATGGCTAACACACAGATTGAACCTTGAAACAACCTGTGGGCTGATCTAAGTCAGGGCATGGCTAACTCACAGATCGAACCCTGAAACAACCTCTGGGTTGGTAAATGGTAGGGCATGGCTAACTCACAGATTGAACCTTGCAACAACCTCTGGGCTGATCAAAGTCAAGGCATGGCTAACTTGAAGATCAAACCCTGAAACAACCTCTGGGCTGATCTAAGTCAGGGCATGCTATAACTCACAGATAGAACCCTGAAACAACCTCTGGGCTGATCTAAGTCAGGGCATGCTATAACTCACAGATAGAACCCTGAAACAACCTCTGGGCTGATCTAAGTCAAGACAGCTAACTTACTATTAATTGGAATTTAGTTTTTTAAATAGATGTTCATTCTATAAGTAAATTAATTTACTGTAACTTACCTAGTTTTGTGTCTCCTTATGTCCTAGCATTGCCATTGATACAATTATCTGTTTATACTTCCAGTTGATGGATACTTGTGTTCGTAATGGTTATTATGAAGAAGCTCTTGAACTTGCATCCTACGTCAAGCGTCTTGAACGAAAACTCGCCAACATTCCTGTCGTACAAAAGATCGTAACAGCGGTACAATCCTCTACCCAACTCATGCTCTCACAACTCCTCCAACAACTTCGTTCTTCAATTCAACTACCAGCGTGTTTGCGAGTAATTGGTTATCTGCGTCGTCTTGAAGTGTTCCACGAAGCTGAACTCAGAATAAAGTTCTTACAAGCACGAGATGTGTGGTTGAAGAGTGTTCTGAGTAGTATTCCTACTGATGATCCATATTATCACATCACCAAGACTATTGAGGCTAGTCGCGTGCATTTATTTGACATCGTCACACAGTACAGAGCTATATTCTCTGATGATGACCCAATACTCTCCATGGAAGACGAGGAAAATCCAGTTTATAGTAATCTATTTCATTGCTGGATTGTGCAAAAGGTATGGTGATAAAAATATACTTTACTAAACAAGCCAGGGTAAAATTAAAGTTTATGCCGATAAACAAGAGTGTGGTATTAGTTATTTAGTTTGCTTATTCTATTTATGTTCCCATTTTATTCCCATTCATCCTTCCATTACTTTTTTTTTTTTTTTGCAGCATCTTCCTTCCCATATGACTCGCTTTCTACAAATTCAGTATCATTTCCCTTCCCACTTCCATTTCATTCCCATTCATTCTTCCACTTAAGCACTTCCACTTAAAAATTTTCCTACATCTCTCTTTCCAGGTGTCTCACTTCCTAGACATTTTAGAGAAAGATTTAAACCTTGGAATGGGTGGTCGATTGGATTCTCTTCTTGGGCAGTGTATGTACTTTGGGTTGTCATTTAGCCGTGTTGGAGCAGACTTCCGTGGTCTCTTGCCGCCTCTCTTTCAGTCGGCATCATTAAGAGTGTATTCTGCTGCTGTTAGAGATGCTACTAAAGTGTAAGTTTTTGCAATAAAATATGGGGAATGAAAGAGGATGTTGTCAAATTTTTATACAATCCAAGTCAATTGAAGATTTCCTCTATTCTTCCATCCACTGTGAAATCCACCTGCTCATTATGAAGTTGGGCTAGTACATGGATTTAAATATATATTTAAAAATCTTCAGTGTCATCTTGACGTTCAAATGAAGTTCATACGGTAGCTCAAATATTTGAAGTTTTTTTTYCCTTTCTTTTTGTAGATTTGAAAATACCATGTCCTCATACACCTTACAGTCTCTTCCAAGTGTTCTAACTTCCACTGTTATGTCCACAACTATACAAAAGGTGAAGATGCAGATACATACAACAGGTTTTGTGTGTGTGTGTGTGAAAATCAGAAAACAGAGTAATTGGAGTTAAAAGCATATCGTATCAGGTTTCCTTTTTCTTTATTTGTGCTTTATGCTTATGACCAATGGTTTTTACTTTCAATATCATGTACATGAACTCATTTCAGTGTATAAACCGAACCGTAATCTTCGTTCTGCATCACAAGTTCTTCTATCAGCACATTCTTATAATCTTAAATCTTATGGTCATCGCTCCTTCTCTGTGGCTGCTCCTGAACTCTGGAACTCACTTCCAATATCTCTCCAAAATGCATCAAGTCTTGCCTCATTCAAAACTGAACTTAAAACTTATCTCTTCAAATTAGCATATTCTTTGTAAATAATTTTATTTTGTCGTTGTCTTTGTCGTTTGTTTACTAGCGCTTAGAACAGATTTGTATTTGCGCTTTATAAATAAATATTATTATTATTATGTATCAACTGAGCATGCTTCCGACTCTGCTTCCCATTCCAATTCTGACCCAAGTGAAAACCAGCCTACACAAGCACAGTGTAAATGTTTTCACCTCGACAGCAGATACACCGTCTTGGAACCCCAAAACTATTGCAGAAAATTCAAATATTTTAATTTTTTTTTCTAACATTTTTTCAAATTGTGATTCAATTTCATGAATACGAATCCAATAAAGTTGAACACTTTTTTTTCCAGTCTGATGAAGCTTCCAAAAATCTTACACCTCCGTTCAGCTTGTTAGAGCATCCTCCACTAGCTGCATACACTAATGCAATACTGTCTGCCTTCAATGAGCTGAGACACTGCGCACCACTGTCCCTGGCCCATCCAGTCCGAGATGAATTACACACGTCACTCATGGTGGTCATTCAGGCTACTTGTACATTTCACAGGTAGGTTTAACTACATTTGAAGAGGTGTGTAAAATTTGTACCTCATTCTTATAGTTAAATAGCTGTGCACACTATTAATGGTTCTAAATTGTGATCTCTGAGAGAACAGAGCACAGTTCTGAAATCACTTGTGGCTTTATGCTTTACTGAAGAAATAGAAAACGCATGTGTGTGCAGATATGAATCACATGACAGATTATAGTTAGGACGAGCATGACATGTAGCGGAAAACTAGAAAACACTAGCTTTGGTACAAAATTGTGAGTTTTCTAGTGGGTGTAATGTTTTCTGATTTTAGACCATGTGTTATTCCCTAGAGTATCATTTCTTTGTTTAATGGTTGTACATGAGAAGATACATAAACATTCTTGGTTTGAGGATACGACTCAAACCAAGAATTTTATTCTCAAGAGAATGACGTTTGGTCAGTAATGGGAAAAACATCAGCTAAAAAGGTACATACAAGTTTGACACAATGAATATTTAAAAGAATGTATTCTGAACCATGCCTCACCATTACTCTATCCACTTGCAGCACCAGTACCTAATATTTTCAATCCCTTTCACATTCACGCTTCTCTTTCATTTCCCTAGAACCGAAGCACCAGCTCTAAATGAAAAGGAACGCTCACTGTTCACAAGTTTTTCCAAAGCAATTGTCAAAGACCTTGTACCTTACATTGACCGTTGCCTAGCAGCAATTTTTCCGCTAAATTGTATAATTATGACTGGGCCCAGTACTCTCAGTGAAGGACTAGATCGACCAATGGGACTCAAGATACGGGATATTACGTCACCCTTGTTACCCATGATCCCTCAGGAGATTGTAGAAGAGCAAGAAATCAAAACCGAAGAAAAAACAACAGCTCCATCTGGTAATAAAAATAATAAAGAAATGGCAAAAACTCAAGAAGTTAATAAAAATACTAATGAAATCAAAGATGAGAAGGAAAGTACAAAAGAAAGTGAGACAGAAAAAACACAAGAAACAGATTCTCAAGAGGATATTCCTCAAACTATCGTACCTCAAAAAATGTCAGATCAAGAAGAGAAGAAGATGGACTAACATGTAGAAATTCTTAAAGTTTTCACTTGTGATGCAAATGCAAGCACAGGAAAAGGATAATTTTTGATCCTTGTTTTTGTAATAGAGGCTTTGGACCATCATGTGATGACAGGAGGTACAATAGCAGTCTTTATCCTCTGGCAAAACTGAATTTTGTCTCATGTAAACCAGATTAGACCAGATTCAATTGTTCCTGCCTCCTGTTCATGGCTGCCATCACATGATGGTGCAAAGCCTCTATCATATGAGGGTAGCACGTAGATACGAAAATTAATATTAACCAAGTAATGTTTATAAGGGATTATCAAATAAATATTTCAACAATAAAGTTTAGCCTTTAAGGTGTGAAATCAAGATTGCGTGTTTGCTTTATCTATTCTGCTAGCATATTTACAAAATAACATCAGTTATTCAATGCTTTACAAACCTTGTTTTTGATCATTCAAATGTCTCTTGGCTAGCTAGTCCAAAATGTGTATGTGAATTGAATTCTCACAAGAGGAAAAAATATGTTTCAAAGCATCAATACAAATATGAATAGAATTCTTACAATTTAGAAAATTTTCTTTCTATGTACATAATGTCAAAATGTAAAAAGTTGTAATGTTTTGACAACACAGCCCTGGGCTGCACTATACATGATGCAGTTTGGTTCTCAGCAAGGGCGGATCCAGCCAAAACTTTAGGGGGGACTAATTGAGTTTAGGGGGGGCTAATTGAGTTTCTTCCTTCAAAGCAACAGGAAACAATAAAAAAAGCATCTAATTAAACTTCAGTTTTGTTTTGTTTTGTTTTTTTTTCTGCTGCCCCCCCCCCCCCCCCCCCTGGATCTGCCCTTGCTCAAGCGTGTTCAATGTAAATGACTATCCCTTGCCACCCAGCTTATAAATATAAGCTAATATTAGAGTGCAAATACTCTAACTGTTAAACAGTATTCTCTTCAGATTACTAAAAGAGACTGTGCGGTTTTTTTAAGCACATATTAAGTAGTTTTTGCTTACCACCCAGCATATTACTGTAATATATATTAGCTAATATTAGAGTTCAAATACTATATCTATGAAATAGCACTCTTTTTAAAGGCTACTAAAAAGTAATCTGTCTATTTTTGCTATTGAAATATAGGGTCTTTTCTGCCATTTTTATACTATTACTATACCGTTTGCACTCTGCATGATCTTCGATATTTACTTATTCCAAGTCACAAAAGTATAGACCCCTTGCATGTCACATCAAAGCAGCTCATCTTGGAGGACAAAACAAATGAACTTCAATCTCCTGACAATTGGAAACCTATTGCATGTCCTCCAAATTGAGCTGCATTCCGACATGCTGCAAGGAGTCTGTCGGATAATGTCACTTGGCGTTACTGATAAAATCAATGACTTGGAAAATAAAGCCTTTTCAGTTCACTTTCATAAGTTACATAGGTAAATGAATGGATTCAAAGTCATCTAGGTCGCTGTCATAGACCTCGTCTACTTCATTATCTAGTTCTTCTAACTCGCTCGCTTCATAGAATCGTTCAAGAAGTTTCCTTAGCGGAATCAAACAGATGATGAAGAAGGGGAATCCAGGTGCTGCAGGCGAGAGCTTCGTAGCGAAGAGTACCACCACACAGATGATCTGCACAATGGTGAAGAAATGCATCTTGGCAGTCGATACATTACGCACGTAGTTCAAGTCAGGGTGGTGGCTTGGTGAGATGATGAGTAGCTTGGCACGCTCAACAAGTTGAAGATGTGACAAGGATGACACCCCAAGGAAGATGAAGACACCAAAGAGGACAGCGACAGGTATAAGGCGAAGAACTGGAGCAAGAACAACTGAGACGCCAATCAGAAGATGGATGAGGACATTGGTGACTCTCTGTTCCTTGACTTCGATAAGATGGGGGTGCTCGCCTGGAGGGTTGTTGGTGCTCAAGACAGACAGGGCATGGAAGTGTGACACCGTGTGAACAGGAGTTGCGCACATCCAAGGAAGACCAAGAATGGAACACAGACCGACGAGAAGACCAACGATGAACAGATCAAGGTTATACCCTGGTCCTTTCTTGAGCTTGTTGTCTTTTTTATCCAAGATGACATTGCAGAACTCGACCTCCATGAAGAGTAGGATACTGACGAGGATTGCTGGAATCAAAGCCGCCATGATGCTACTAGCAGATGTAGTACTCTCAATACCCATGGGATTCACAAGCCAGCCAGTCCTCTTAGGAGACGTCAAGGTCAGTACACCTTCAGGTACTTCCAGCTTATGCGTCGATATGCTACCCGCGATCAATTCCAATATCACCATGGCAACGATGGCAATAAGAACACCAAAGTCACTCACAATCCTACGCGCAACGTTGCCGAAGAAATGGCTGTGTCTCAACTGTCGCAAGCTGTGGGCGATAAAGAAGGTCCCAAACAAAAGAATTGTCGTGAAGAGAGCTGTGTTGAGATAATCCTCTGAGCTGTGGCTCTCGTCGTCATGGCTACGCTTCAGGTTCTCGTAGTGATAGAGTTTCCACACATAGGAGAGGCCATCGTAAATAAAGATGAGGGAAATCAAGATCGCGAAGATTTCTTCTGTGAAGCGAGTAAAGTAGCGAATCAAAAAGCACCCTTCAAAAGCAATGATGCCAAAGCAGATCACCATGACCCACAGACCAACCCACGCTCTCCAAGGGAGATATTCCAGGTGAAAATTGTTGCACAGGTCGAAGGTATTCTTCTCGAACACTAATAATGGTCCTGTTGCGCCAATAATAATTAGAGGCTGTCCTGCAAAGAGTGAAAAGATGATACCACATAGAGCAGTTGCGAAGATCATTTCGGAAACTCCCATCCAATGATCGGTGTTTTCGTACAGCAGCCCACCAAACGAAACTGCTGGAGCCAGACAAGCAAGATAGACGAAGATGGTAGCCATTGCACAGCGCATGTTAAGGGAATCCAAGATGTCACTCTTGTACATCGAGAACCGCCTCTTGATATCTCGAAGCAAACCACCACAGAATCTCCCTGTTCTTTCAAGCGCATCTTCCACTTCTGGAGCCTCTGCTTCGTCTTTCACTTTTTCACTAGGCCCTTTTACCTTCTCTATTTTGATCGTTGTTTCTCGTCTACGAAGAGCGATCTCTTTAGCTTGGTCAGCCAGGATAGGAATGGTGTGGCTCAGAACGTTGCGGTCATATTCCCCTGGGGGGATTAGTATACTGTCGCTCAAGAAGCTGTCTATTGACTGAAGGAGGTCGTTAACATTCTGTAAAATAACGCAGCAATGGCAGTTAACGGGAAAATGTTAACAGATTTCTGAAATGTTCTCTTCCTTCCTCCCTTGCCTCCCTCCCTCCCTCCTTCATTCCTTGCCTCCCTCCCTCCTCCCTCCCTCCTTCCTTCTTTCCTTCCTT